AGACCACACCATTGCTTCACCTCCTGCTGCCTTCTGTCACTTGTTTGCAGCAGACAGAGCTGACATGAGCAGACCTGTCTCCTCTGAACCAGCTGCCACATCTACAGTCAGCGCTGAGCCAGCATTTGTGGCTCTCCAGCTGCCCCAGCAGCAGCTGGGTTATTTCCAGGACACTTAGCTACTGCCCTTGATAAATGAAACTGCCCCTGGGGGAATGATTTCCCTGGGAGAGCTCTCTGTAGTCAGAGGAAAGAACTTATACATTGAGAGGGCAGGGAAAGGCATAGCAGTTTTCCACCCAGGGGAGTTTTGTGAGGCACTCCTGAGCAAAATGAAGCAGCCTGGGAGCTGCTCCATGAGCTCTCAGCTGCAGGGAGGTCCTGCAGGTCCCAGGGAGGAGCTCACAAGATGAGGACAAGACAATGGGGAGACACCTCACAACACAGTGTCCCCCAAACAAGCAAACCCACTGAGGTTAAAAGATGAGTTCCAGATGTGCTCATCCTTCATGCAGAGCTGAATCACACCCGCTCAGTCACTCCTTGCCCTCCAGGTCACATGTGTCCATCATGGAGCAGCAAGGAGAAAACTTTCTTGCTTTTCCTCCTTGCCTTTTTTTCCTTTTTAAATGACTGCCACAAAAGCCAGCTGAAATGCTGAGGAGCAGCTGCACTATCAGAAATTATTCTTACCTCATTAAAAAATGTATCCTTTTTAAAAGCAGAGGCAGAGCAGAGAATTAGAGGTTCTAGTTCTTTGCCGGGCGTTACTGAGGACCTGTGGATCATTACATTGATAAAAATATGTACCGGCTCACTTTTCAGGTTTAAAAGTGTTTTGTCCCTTTGTTTGCTTAGCTAAATAAAGAGGTTTTGTTTGACCTGTGATTTTGAATCCAGCTGGCTTTTTAAACATACAGTGACTCATTCAAAGCAGCCTGTAGAGCCAGTCTCATTTCCACTGCTCTACCACTGATTTTGGCAGAAGCCCCATGGAAAATCAAGCACTGGGGGGAACTTTTGGCCCCACTCCTGACCAGACCTTCCTCACTTGAGTTGTGCTGTTCTTTCTGTAATTGTTCCTGCTG